AGATCGCGTCATTTCAACTTAATAAGTTTATTAAACGACAATCATTATTTTGGCCGCATTCCCGGAGCGCGACTTACTTTACAAAGCGTTAACCGTAATAGGCTACATTGACCCAAGTCCCTGTATCGTTGTGTCCGACTATAAATCAGAGTTGCCACTATTTCTAATAGTATATCTGGGCCAGTGTAATATTAGTCAGCGTTGTTTCTATGATTTTGTACAATAGATGTTCGTGATAATTCCGACCGTCGATTTTATCGACACTTACTAACTTTGATCAGCATCTGTAATTCAAGTTTGTTCATTTGTTAATTGTTTGTAAATAAAATGAATTATTTATGTTACTTATACTATACATTAATATTGACTCATTTTTATATATCTATATTCAATTGTTTTCCTATTTTCATCTATATCTTAAATAACAAAAATACATGTATTAAAATTTGTTTCTTTAACCTCAATCATTTCCTGTATGGCTTAATAATTTTTAATTAATATTATATTATTGTATATACCTTAAAAATATTTTAGATCCATAGAACATCACAATATCATTCATGCAGTACGAAACAAACATCTTTAATATTACCATAAATGATACACAGATTAAATCTATTATCCAATACATATGTAAATATTAACTACATCCCTTTTTATCGCACGTCATGAATGCTTCCAAGTCTTCTTATCATTATAGTATCGCTTTCAACGTTACCGATTCAGCATAGAATAAGAATACATTTGTAGAGATTAGAATCGAAATTAAATAAAATTATGCTATAAAACAGAGAATCATATATGAGATATAAAATTTAAATACAGATGAAATAAACATTATTATTTTTTTTCATTATACGACTTCAAGAATGACCTATTTCCTCCATAATTTTTATATTCCATGTGATATTATCGATTCAGTATTGAGAAAGACTACAGCGCCAGTATAGCGGTAGAATGTGTAATTATCACAGTATTCGATTGTCATCGAAATCATTTCTCTACTGTATCGAAATTTATCATAGTAATGTCAGTTTTAAGTAGAAAGTATATTTATTCACAATCAAACATGTGTTTGAATTAAATTTTTATTTCTCCCTACAACATTGCAGTAAGTGTATTTTACTAATATAATTGTAATTCCTTATTTGGCTAATAATAGTGTTTCAGAAATATAAATGATATCACAGAAAATATGGATATTCAAATCATGGTTTAGTAAATCATAATTCAGTGGAAATGTTACTTTATCGTTTCCCGATCAGTGATAATGGTATAGGTATTATTATAATTGATACGATTGAAAGAAAATATCGATTGCTGGATTTAGAAAGCAATATGTACATATATAATCGTTATTTTCTTAAAGTAGTTTCTGAGATTATAGAAATATAAAAATATGCTATATTAAAAATTTATTATTACAAAATAGTATTTAACAATAATGACAAAAATCATTAATAAAAAAATAATTATAACTGATACAAAATTGAAATAAGATCTATATGAGACTAATATAGTACCAATATCTTTAAAATTATTGAAATCGCAAACTGAAATCAACATTTTTATTAATTTCAATTCTTCGTAACTCTTATAGAAAATAATAGTATTCTTAAAATTATTTCAACAATCAAAATCGATATAACAATTTTCAACCCCTGAATTCTATCAGTTATCAAAAGAAGGCATAGTTGATGGTTACTATAGATTTTGGGCTTTAGAGATTTAGAGATAGAAGAAATTGTTACTATTTTCTAGCTATATGTTTGATAGCTTAACGAAAAATTTAATTAAATTGAAATTTAATATTTCAAGATGTTTATTTGCGCGTAGAAGAGATAACCTTGTTGTAATTGAAGGCTACCTTATTCCGCAGACGAGAGATGGCAGGTTGTATGTGAAGCGAAGAGATGAAGAGAGCCTCGTGACTTTAACTACTATAGTCTTTAAGATGGGAGTGTACTGTTGCCTCGTGTTGAGAGTCGAGTTTGCTGGCTTGATGATGGACTTATGCCAAATTTTCGGCAGATACTTCCAATTATCCATGTCGCCAGAGTAGGTGAGTTGTTTAAGGTCGATCGGTGGATAATTTGTTCTGTTACTGGTAATGGATTTAAAAATATTCGAAAAAATAGAATTTGGATTTTTTTGAGGTTTAAGACAAATATTGCAACTAAAATCTACTTGTTAGCCTTGCACGTTGTTTACTGGATGTTATGTTTAACAAATAACGAGTCAATATACTGTCAATATTTCTTGTATCGACATCTGATTATGATGTAGACCACAAATTGGTGATCTTTGGTTAGATCAAAGCGCCTTCTAGTGGACGAAACAAACGATGTCTGATGTATAGTTATCGACGTCTTTGTGATCTTAGAAGGAAGTCTTTAGACGATATTTACTGGTAATTATGTAGGCCAGTGACCAGATGACTGTTAAGTATAGTTGGCTTGAACGATATAGACGATATAGAGAGGTTGTAAAGCCAGTCAAGCGCAAAAGAACAAAGGTTCGGATTTGTGGAACAGCATCTTAAGATATTTTGGAGAGATAAAGAATTCGAATATTAATCTACGTCGTACGATATCGATTTGATGTGGGTTCTTCTGTTACGGAATATTGTAACAATGATTGCGAAAAATTAAAATTCTTTTAAATGTTCGAAATATTAAACAGAATTTAATAGTATATGGGAAGTAGTATATCAGAATGTGGTAGTAAATTGAGTGGAAACTAAATTGGATATGAAAGTTAATTAATAATTTTTTCGTTTTAGTGCTTGACGTTAAATATCTATGATTACAAATTGACGATGGTTTTAAATATTAATAACAAAGATGGCATTTCGGCATTAAAGATTTACAGACCTTAGATAATTTATAACCTTACTATATTGTTCAAATTAATTATATGTATGTATTTCTGGATAGGTGAAGGACATTTTTTGTGGAAGACTTAGGTATTGTGTACTAATTTTATTAGCTATCTTACAAAGTTAACTTAAAGAGGAACAAAGGTGAATGAAAGGAGAATGGATTAGGGTATATAAGGCCGTATGAGTATCATAATAGATGGCAGTACAGGTTAGCTCGCTTGTATTTCTAAGGAACTGGTTCCAGGAATTGTGCTGAACATTAAAGTCGTCACCTAGGATGGTGAGCTAATACCGACCAATACATCTAACTTTACTAAGGAAAATATATTTCGACAGAGATTATACGTTATAATAACGTAAGCTTTAGAAATGTACATTTGAAGTTAAATACATATTTGGATTTAATGGCAGTAATGAAATAATCTGCTTCATTTAGATTATAATACGGATAAATTATTTACCCGTTTCCTATGATTAGTCCAGAGAAATAACTCATTAGTCAAGCAAATGAGGGCAATGACTTAGAACAGGAGTGTAACTTTAAAGTTTTATAAGTAAATTTTCTACCTTTTATTGAAACAAACGCGGATCGTAAAATTTGTTCTATTTTTTTATTCACTTTGAGAATATGGGTGAGGTATGAACAAATAATGAGAGCAGAAGAGTAAATTGCTTTTCTTTTGTCATTTTATGGAACAAAGAGAGGAATTTTAGCACAATAAACGTTGAAAACAAGCAATAATCAATAGCATCAGAATTTTTAAAATTGTATTATATAAATATGAAATATAATTTGTAATGCTGTTTTAATATGTATAATTAAAAACAGTTTTTACAAAAATCATGTTTAGTTTCATTTTTATCAAGAAAATTTCATAAATATTATAATATGATAATATTTTTATTAATTGTAATAAAAAATATGAGAATAAATTATTTTATTAACGAATGAGTCATACTTGAATTCTACTGCTACTGACATACTGCTAGTTATATTTCTAATCACGCAATCCAATATACCTATATATGAACATAGTGTCATATATATTATATGTATCATTTAAAAAGGCATATACTAATATTCACAAAATATTTCGTATAATTTTATTTTATTGAAATGTACATATATTCAAAATCCCAAAATATTTTACATATAAGCTAAATATGACTGTATTCTTACGTGTAACATATGACAAATATGAAATAAAATTGCTGTTTATAAATAATAAATTATAATAGATGGGAATTAATAGTTCCTCAAAATCATATATAATCAAATATAACCATAAATAATAAGGAAAATATAAATTTATCGCTATATTATTATTTTCGAGTTTATGGTTTTATAAAAAAATGTTTTTATAAGAAACAGTATTTTTAATAAAATTAAATTTTTATACATACAACTTGAGATATGACTTTTTATAAATATTTTACAAGTCGATAAATTAAATATTTATGAAAATGAAAAGTAAAAAGGAAGATTGAAATAAATAACTGTCTGAAAAAATATGTGAGAATTTAGTTCTATTTTTACTTTATTATGTTTAATATCATTTATGAAATATAATACTTGTATTTCAAAATGTAAAAAAATTATAGAATATATAACGTTTAAGATATTTTTAAATGTACATAACATAAGATATAAATATTGATAAACATAGCAATTAAAGACTAAGTGATACTTATTTTCATATAATAAAATATAATATCGCTTATTTTCATAAAGTAACATATAAAATAGGATTTAAAAGTAGTTAATAAAATTATTCCGGTATTAACAATATAAAATAAACAAATGAATAAAATCTCATATAATTCTGAGTAACTGTTTTCTAGTTTAACAACAATGAATCGTGTATCTCATCACAAGCAGTCATACAGAAATAAAATAAAATGGACGTTAAATGTATTTTAAACGGAATTAAAACGATTTTTATATTTCAATTCGTTAAAATATGACATACTTGCAACGTTAAGTGTTTAAAAGATAAATAACATTATTTTTAAATGATATCCACTATAAGTTATTTAAATTGAATATCACTTTTATAAAACAAAAATAAAATTTTCGTAATATTATATCGTATTATAATTTAAACATAAAATAAAGAAATTATATTTTGAGCATATATTCTTTTAGTGAAAGTGTAAATACTGAACTTTCTGGATATTCCCCATTGTTCTAAAAATAAGAAAAAATTAATATAAAATTAAATAAATACTTTTAAATTTCCTTTTCTATCATATTCATACATTCAAGCCCGACTTGTGTCTTATTAGTATTCATGTTTAAATATAAACTATTTTTGTAAATTTTTAATAATATAAGCACAAATGAAAAGCGTAAATTAACGCATAACCTTAAACTAAATGTATAACAAAATAAATTTTACAAAAATATTACTTCATTTTTAATTCTCTAATTTATCATTATTCGATTATAACGAAACATAAATTCTTCTTTCTAGTTCCAAAAATATTCAGTCATATTTTAAAAAATTTTATTATAAGAATTTCATATGTACTTCGTATAGCATAACAAATTTTATTTATTCAGTAATCAAATATTTTTATTGATAAAATAATAAGATATAACTAATAATTATGGTTTCTAATACCAAAAAAGATTTTTAAAAAAGTCATACAACTTACGTCACTACAAACTCCAATTAGAGCATCAGCACATGAATACATCTCCTCTTTCAAGGTTATTATGATAAATTGCATTTGATTCATTTTGGAGTATATCAAACGTATAACATTTTTTATATTTATATTATCCAAAGCTGCATCGATTTCATCCAATATAAAAAATGGCGCCGGTCTAAAACTATATGATTAATTCTGTTAGGTACTTGTAACGCCAAAAAATATAAACAAAACTGTAAATTATTAAATCACTGGACGAGGATTAAATAAAAAATTAATTTACAAAGTTACCTATGAATCGCGAATAAGAAAGCTATTGTAGCAAGCGTTTTCTCTCCACCTGAGAGATTTGAAAATGATTGAAATCGTTTCCCTGGCATTACGCAACTATAATTTATTTCACCTAGATATGGTTCCTCAGAGTTATCCGAGAAAAGAATAGCTTGTGCTGACTTGTCCTTTACTAAACACTACTCGTTTTGCGATTATTTAAAATAAGAATTAATATTTCATAATTAACAAGTAAAATATCAAATATTTATAACATTAGTTATAAAGATATTTATTTACCTTAATAATGGAATCTAAGTTTGTAGTAATATGCTCTAAACTAGTCGTAAATCTTTCGTATCTTTCTTGTTTCACTAATTCAAACTGTCTTTTAATTATTTTCAGTTTCTTACGTGCGTCTTGATATTCAAAATTTGCATTTGATAATTTCTCTATTGTGAATTCAATTTCTTTATTAGCCTGTATGTAAATAAATGAATTTCTTTATTAGTCTGGATGTAAATAAATAAATCGTTAATTAAGATTTCAAACAATTGTTTTATATATGGCGAAAATCACAAACTTTTACGACTGTTGATATGAACAAGCACGAAATTTGAGAGAAAATTATACAATTTTTAAGACGTATTATTTCATTTACTGCAAAAATCTTTTTTGTGACTACTTTATTTTAAGTTGAATATTTAGACATTTATATTATAAAATTTCCAGTTCTACTGTTATTAAAAACAAAAATTTATGAGGTACTGGAAAATAGCAGAGAAATCGATATATTCTTATTAAATTAAAAGTCTATCATTATGCTTTATATCGAAAAATTATTCATCAATATTTATTTTAATAATTCTTACAAACCTTAAAATTTGGATCTTTTACAAGTTCCATTTGATTTTTCAGTTCTTCAATTTCATTCATAAGTTTACTTTTTAAATTATTAATTTCCTCTTCTTTTAAAGTTTTAATATTTTCAGGTAACTTACTGAAATCTATATGTAAAAGGAAATCTACATCGTGTCTTTCTTCAGTCTTTGGTGTTGAATCACTAGTGTCGATACTATTTGTAATTTGTCCCGAAAGTAATGGAATATTAATATCTTCTACCTGTTAATGTTTAATTTATGTACATTACTGTACAAACTGTGTTCGAGGTGAATTGTAAGAAATTGATAATATTTTGAAAATTTAAAAATTTCACATGACATATAAGAACCTTTAAATGTCATGAAGTGATTATTATAATATTAATAATATTAGTAATATTAGTGTTATAAGATAATTTCATTTATAAAGTTCAACTATAGATTACTTCTATGTATTTTAATTGTTTTATTTTTTAATTTTATTTTAAATTTATTTTTATTTATTTAAATAAAATAAATATAAATTTATTTTTGAAACTTATTTAGAATAAAATTACTTATTTAGAATAAAAAAAAGGATAGACAAAATTTTGGAATTCATAAAGGAATCTTAATTCGCTCAGGTATTTAAGAAGCAATTGACATTAAGAACACGAATATATTCTTAAAAAACAAAATTACGGGTCAAATGTTATTAATTTAATATTATTTATCAAAAACCAAGTTTAATTAATATTTCTGTATTGTATCTAATCTTACCTTGGAATTGAGCAGAAGGGTATGGCATTTTGCTTTTTTTCTTTTAATACTAGTTGTAACCATTATAAGCTCTTTTTCAGTATTAATAATTAATTTTGCAATGGTACTAATATTACGCCTACATTCTTTGAGTTTTTCTGTCCGTTCATTAACGTTAAGTTTGATTTTATTATGCATAGTTCGTAAATTATTCAATTTGTTTAATCCATGGTTACTCATGTCTCTGTGTAAAGCTTCAGTTCGACGAACTTTTTCTAACTCTCTCTTAGCTGTTACCAAATTTTGTTCTGTCTTAGTAACTAAACCTAAGAAAACAAATAAAATAAAAAGCTTTGAATACATACATACATATGTATATACATAATGAAATAGTTTTCATAACTTAATATGAATGAGTTTTCGTTGGTAAATCGTTTTATGAGATAAATTTTTAAATCTATTTTATTTTGTTCGTTTTCACGAATGTCACATCTCTAATATTTTCTTCTATTTCATTCAGTACATATATACTTTCTCATTAATATGTAATAAATTTTGTATTAGTAAATTATATTAATGTATTAGCATATAAGTAGTAAGTACTAGTATAATATAACATACTTTCCGTATTTCGACTTCTTTCAAAATCCAATAGATTCTGTATACGACTATATTGCTCTTCTAATTCCAATTTCTTTTTTGTTTGTTCCTGATGAAATCTGTTATGAGAAGAATATATAATTATTAACTGCAACATATATACATTAAAATTTCCAATTACTAAGAAGTATTTAGTAATTACTTTAGGTTCTCTTGTTCATATTGACGTATATTTCTTATACCAACTTTGTTACAAAATTCTTTAAAAATCATATCTTCAATATTTTTAATAGATTCTTCTATATTTTGAATATCTTGATTTTTCTCCGCCATGATGTTCTTAATTGATGTTATATTATTCTGGAAAAATATTGGAGAAAAGAATATAAATTATTTGTATAAATAACGTATTAAAAAGATTAAAATATTGTAAAAGAAAATTTAGTGTTAATTACAATAATTCGTAACAACTAAAACATAGACGAAAAAGATATTAAAAACAAATGAAAGATATGCTTACATCAACTATTCGTAGTTTGTTTTGAATATCTTCTATTTCATTTCTAAGAGTAATTATTTTATTTTCCTAAAAAGAAAGTCAAATACTGAGAACAATACAATATGAAAAAATGTAATTGAATATATTCTTTTTACTGTAAAAAAAAAGGAAAGAAAATATATAATGAACACTTGCAGCATCGTTTAAATCAAGTTTACAATAATTCAATCTACTTGTGAGACCCTGAATTTGTACATCCAATGTCTTTGCTTCAAATTCATTTTGAGAAGTTTTGGTTTTATCCCTTAATTCCGCCATTAACATTGTCTGTAATAAGTTTTAACCACGATTTATATAAATATTATAAACTATTTCATACTAGTATTAAAAGATATAAATAGTATAAAAGGCACCTTTTTTGATTTTAATTGAACCAAATTTTGTTCATTCCATATTTTTGCTTTTTCTAATAATTCAACTTGTCCCCCAGAAATTATTCCACTTTTTGTATAATAAGTTCCATCTAATGCAACACACTATAACATTATAAATATTAATATGAATAAATAATATAACTATTAATAAATAAATAAATGGTAACTAGTAGCAAATGCTGATAAAGTTATTTAAATATAATTTTAATACTGAACTATAGAAGGTATCCATGTAACTAAGACGAACTATATCTTTAAAATCGTCAGACAAGAAAATTTCTTTGATTGTAAATTGAAATAACTTTAAAATGAATTGCTTCAAAATATATGTTTACTCTTTATAAAGCATAAAAATTTACACTGATTAATGTTTCGTTAAGTATTCAACTTCACAATGTTGTAAATGTATTACAAAACAATACGTTCGAAATATACAATAGTGTTGCATTTGAATTAAATAAATTTTCTGATATAAAAAGTTGTGTACTTTTAATATGTAAGCTTTCGATGTATGTACATCACACAAAAATAAATGTATTTCTTCAAAAAATCACAAATGCTCTGGATTCCCTATTGCGAATTCATTAGGAATAATTAAGCTTATTAAAAGAATATATATTTTTACGTTGTTATTACGACGTGGATCGATTTCATATGCAAGTATTCTTGCATCTTCTGATGTTTCACAAACAAGAGTATTTTTTGTCACAAATAGAATAGCATTATTAATTTCAGCAGGTTCAAACCGAAGTACATCATATAGAAGTTTTACATTTTGGGGATTTTCAATTTTCCTGAAATGATAAATTATGAAAATATTATTGATTGGTAATATACTGCAAAATTTAATATTTAATTATATATCAAATACTATTTCATTGAAATTTCCATTGACATAAAATTTAATATTTTACACTGTTATGTATTTACTATTATGTACTTTATATTCTAACTTTATTTAATTATACGTATATCTGAATAACAATTTTTTAAATTATTAACAATTGTTAATCTCTTCCTTTTTAAATTTAATAACTAAACGAAACCACAATCGAATTGACTTTTACTAAAAATATCTCAATGAGTAATTATTACCAACGGTAATAGTTAGATAAAAATCTAACAGGGAAACATAAAAATTCAAATTTTCATTGAAGGGTGAATTACAAGGTACATGAAATCAGTTTTAAGTTATTCTAAATCGATTATGTAGTAACTCAAACATTGCTCGCTGCTCCTTAAATTGTGTTACAATAAAATAACGAAGTTAATGTCACAGAACACTATCGTAGGAAAATATAATTGCTTTTATCTAATAGTTATTGTAGCAACCAAGAAAAATTTCTTTGATGTAGACCCTACACTTAAATTGACTAGATTTTAGCTGTTAGAAGAAATTAATATTTGCAAAAAAATGCATACAAAGTTTTTTATATTTTTACAAGATAGTCTATGGTACATATTTAAAAAAAATGCAATACATTTTTACTAAATACCAAAATTAATACTAAATAAGAAAGAAACGGTAACAAGTGCCTATCCACAATATTACGAGATTAGCGTATAATATATTAAGTCCCGCAATATCACTTGCTGAATAAAAGTTGGACATATTAACACATTGCAGGCGGGAGACTGTGATCACAGTCCGAAAAAGAACAAACGTTGAAAGCGGGAGATTGTAATCGCAGTTGCGTGATAGACTGCAATGAACAGCATTCTGTGACTTTGAAGAACCTTGCGCTTTACGTTATACTATTTTTTTAATTTTACCAGTTTTGACTTGTGTTTTATTTTATGGCATTTTACCCATTTTGAAAATGGATTCGCGCGATTTCGTAAATTATCAAATTAACTAGTACGCGAAAAAGCTGGATTTGCTTGCTACACGTTCAAAAACTTGGAAAACCGTGCCCGCATGCAAAGTGTTAATTTACAGTTGTTAAAAATTAGGACTCTGGTTTTTGAAAGAGATAAAAAATATTAAAATATTTTTAAATTGACACAATATGGCTCTGAACAAAGTACTAAGGCTTTGTGTAGCCTATATCAATCTAATTCTCCAACCAAAGCGAAAGATTAACTATTTCTCAGTTTCTTTTGAATTCATCTTAAACTGATGGAATACTTTATATGGCTAACTTTATATGAAATTAATATTTTATGAGTACCGTAGTTTTTCTTTTATTGATTCTACTTTCAAACTTTCCACTGGTAAAAATATTTCCGTTCCAATTTGTTGTCTCTTTAAGTAATTGATACACTCTAGTGCTACTTGGTTTGTAGATACAATGATAGAATTACAGTATTTTCCCAATACTTTTGTCATAGCAACGTCATATCGAGGGTGAACTGGTTTACATAGGTTGTACAAACGGCCATACTGAAATATAAATATATATAAATGCATTTTAATACATATGATATTTAATGTACTGTTATTAATACAATCTATTACGACGTTTTAATCCATACCACACCAGAAAAAAGGCTTTGTAAAATTTTGATTGTTTCCGCCCCTTTCTTTAAACGCAAAGTTGTAGATTTATTTATTTTTACAGATTCAAGTTGATCAGATACGCATTGTAATTCTTGTTGAATGGATTCCACATCCTCTCTTCTCTTAATAATCATGCTTTCTAAATTACATTTTATACTCGTTTTATCAATTAACGTATTTTGAGTTTCATTCATCAATTGTTGAATATTTCTAATACGTTTCTCTGTTTCATCTTTTAAAATAATTTTTTGCTGTAACGCAGGTTCCAACTTGTATCTTTTCCTGTTTTCATTATCCAATTTGTTTTGATTTATGCTTTGCTCACGTTTAAGAGAATTACATGCCTGGACGTTTTCCAAACATTGTACTTCAGCTACTTGTTTTAAGGAAAAATATTCTTTTACCTTGAAAAAAGAAATATTATTTTATGAATTTTTTAATAATAGCGAAATAGATACACAAATATCTACATTAGATTTAATTACGAATATTTAAGAATGCAATAAATTATTTCCACATATATTCTACATATATGTAGAAATTGTAGAATATGTAGAAAACTTTAAATGATATTTAGAAAAATTTCAATAGAATTGTTAAACAAATTTCTGTATAATATTAATTATTCTATATAATCAACTGAGAAATATTATTCTCAGCATTATTATGAATAAGCAATTATTCTCAGCTTCTATATTAAACTCTTTCAATTTTTTTTATAACATTTATATACCGACTGCCACCAAATTAATGGTATAAATTGTAAAAATAAACTTGCACTCATAATAAACTTTTAATATCAATTTATTCGGAAATGAAGCTTCGTTTGAAAAAGATAACTTTATATTTATAAATAATTATTTATAGTTCAAATGCAAATTAATTAGCATCCTACTTTAGAATTATGCGATCAACGATACTCTTGTATATATTAACTGAAATATTAATAATGTTAATATTTACGAAATGCTACAATTTATGAAATGTTTTTAAGAAATGTTACAATTTAATACTAAAGTCACATAACATATTGTATTATTTAAAAGATAAAAATGTTGATAAATTTTTTGGCTCTACATATATGTTTCTGTATAAAAATTCTGTATATTATATTATTCAAAATATTCTTTCAAATATAATTATACTTGTATGTCGTTGAGTTCAAAACTGCTGCCACGAGATAACAATTGAGTTGACATATTTTCTTCGAACATAAATTTTGCATGCTCTATTTGCCTTAATTCATTTTCCAATTCTTGTATTGTTTCTACATGAGATTTATTCGATTTTTGTGCCTCCAGTAGTATTAACTTAGTGGCATTGATTTTTTGTTCCCAATATGTAACTTTTTCTTTAACTTGTATTAAATTTGCTTCTTTCTTTCCTAAATCATTTTCTACTTCTGTGACAATTTGTCCGATATTTTCCATAGTGTCAAGTGCAAGTTGTAATTGATTTTTTTGCTCTCTTAGTAAATTGCTTGCAGAATTTTTGTCATTTTCATATTCAATTGCTTTCAATTCTATAGCTCTCAGTGTAATTTGTAAATCTTGAACATCTTTTTGAATATAAAATAATTCAAAAAGATACAGTTCTGTTTTCTTTTTCACCTAAAAAGTGAGAAAAAATAATTCGATTTATTATAAAATTACCTCAAGATAACTAATCTTGTGTATGAAATTTAAGTGGAAAAGTATAATTCAAGTATAATTTAGAAACAGAATTTGAAATGACGTGAATTCGCGCCAACGGTCAGTAAACAATGATGGATGTGAAAAGATATCTCCCCCAAAAGTAATAAATTTAGAAAATATTATGTCACATTCTTGCTCTTTTATAAAATAGATCATTTAATTATTATAATTATTTCGACTTTTTATAATGTATAAATAATTAAAGTAAATGTACATAGTTTATTATTATACATATATTTATTTACATATATCATAGTTTAATATTATTTATGTCAATAATGTATAGATAATTAATAATTAGAAATATTACAATATATGATATATCAAAATTACGAACAAATTTTGAATCATGTAAAAGTATATTCCAAAACGGATTTAATTTACTCTGATTATATATGACATGAATTTACGTCAGTAACTGTTTTTTTTTTTTTTTAATGTTTTAACTATGAAAAGAATAAATTTAAATCTCTTTCTGTTTGTTATCTTCCATATTTTAAGGCCCATCTGAAACTTCATTTTGAGGGTAACTTCCTTGTGCTATATAATAATTTAATCAACAACGTCCAATGAGTTAACGAAAAAATCAGAAATTTTATTACACTGAAATATTATGAAATTACAATTATGAAGTTTCATTAAAAAAATAAAAAGTAATACATCTTTAAAGTCCGTGAAGTCGAACAACATTAATTGGAAAACACATAAAATACCTAAATAATTTTAAAGTATCAATAAAAATTTATTAGTAGTTACAATAATCCTATGATACATAAGATACGTGGCATCATAAGATAAGATACGTAAGCATATAATCGTGGTAGAATTGAAAATGAAATAATTTTGAATGTAGAAATAAATAGAATAAGTAAAATAGAATAAATTCGTATTCAATTTTATTTAAAAAATTGATTTTATAATGAGGCAAAGATTTAAATAATTATTTTACAAATTACTCGTTATTCATTATGATACGAATATTGTTACAATTTGCTATGCTTTATAGTTTTATTTAATGGAATAAAGAAATATCTTTTTAATTTTTCTGATACACTGTTGTTGCAAACATTGTTCAATGTCTTTTTAGGACATTTTCTCCATAATATGTCCTTATAAGGTGCAATTAAAAAGTACAGTTTCATATTTTACAAAAGCAGTTCCTTTCATTTTACAAAAGAAGTTACAGTTATTTGATCAAATATCAAAATCTTTCACATTAAATTGAACTCAAAAATATAATAGCATAATTTTTAGGACTTCGAGATATTAACTTTCACAGTAATTTATTTATGAAATCACATAATAAAGGCAATCTACAATATATATTTGAAATATTTTCTAACTGATTTAAATAGTTAAAGAACAAAGAAAATTCAAATATATTTATTTCGAAAAGCAGAATTATATACGAAAAATGCGACGAATAACTTAATATTCGTTACATAATAAATAAACTAATTATATTATTTAAAATATATTATTATCAATGTAAATATTAATCTACAAAAATTAATATGGATAGACATAATTACTGTTAAAATCGAATTAAATAAAGAAATTGCATCTAGTCAAGGAGATATTACATATATTTTTAACATTATCTTTCTTGAAAACAAAGTCATATAAACAAAAATATTATATTCTACTCTTTTTTATTTATTTTTTACTTTAAAAATCGCTCATCGTCGATTTTACCTTGGATTATATCCTATATACATCTTTAACATTTTTTTAAATAAAAAACATTGTTACAGTCAGTGAATTATATCTATATATTTAATACATACAAATTGATCATGAAGTTGTTCATATTTGTCTGCTTCTTTCTTTTCTGACAAGGAATACCTCTTTTTTCTAAGAAGATCTTTTTTTATTTTGTATAAATATTGAATTTCATTTTCTGCTTGAATGACTTCATTTTTCAACCTACAAGTTTATACAAAATATTTATAATAATAATAATAATAATAATATATCAATATTTATAAACATTTGTTTCTTTTACCTTTCATATTCTTCTTTTAATTCAATTGAATTACTAATTTCTTCAAACATATGAGTATATTCTTTTGGTGTCTTTGTTGTTATGGAGTCAATAGCTCCTTGAAATATTAAAAAATTTTTGGCATTTATATTCAGATTGAGTTTTTTCAGTTCAGATATATATAACTGAGCTATAACTACCTTTATCACAATAAAATACATAGAATATATTATTATTCATTTTTCTTTATTAATATTTGTTATAAATAAAAGAAATAATTGTAATAAATATAATTTTCTAAATAAAAATGTGTAACATTTTTTATACAATACAGTTGTTCAATAACATAATTCAAAAATGTAGAATTGAGTCAAACAGATATATCCAATTAATTTACTCAACCATTTGAAAACATATTATAGTTGTATTATATAATATATATAGTTATTTATAGTTCTATATAATATGCATTTGGATTTATTTCATAATTATAAATGGATAAGTTTTAAAACTTGAAATTACCTGATCATCAATTTTATATTCACAAGAATTATGACATATACTTCTTGTAAAAGATTTAAAACTCTTGTCTTCAAGAACAAAAACAGCTGTTACATATGCTCTGTACAATAGATAAGATGCATTAAAAGTTTTAAACAAAAAAATAATAGATAGAAAATAAGATATTTAACATTCAATTTAAAATCATAAATAAATATATACTAAATTATACCATAAATAAATAATTACAACATAAAACTATCAAGCAGATGTTCCATAATATTTCATAAAATTAAAAAACACTACAACTAAAACTTTTAATTTAGATTAAAATTTAGTTTAGTTCAAATTCAAAAAATAATAACAGTGCAATGAATATATTATATGTAATTATGTCTGTAGAAGATAAAAGACAATTCACAAGAAAAATAATTACTACTGCATAAGTATTCTAGTACTACAATTTTAACAGTTACTATATAATGTAAGCTCACATAAAAAGTATGTTCATTTTTAGTTACATCAAATTTATTACTAACTTTCATTTAAAAAGTGATTGAAAAAAAGGATTAGTTAATATAAATGAGTTTTAAGACAACAAAATATTAAAAAAATATTATGATAATATTATATTCATATCATAATAATATAGTGTTAATTACAAAGTCATCTGATTATTTTTAATACAAGGTATATGAATTAAGTTATTAAATTTTTTATAAAATCAGGAAAAACATGAAGAAAATTATTTATTGAAATTTACAAATATATAACTTCATATAAATGTAACAACTGAGAATAAACAGATATTCAAAAAATATATTTATTAAATATATATAATAATACATATATATGAAGTATTTTATATTCAATCTTATAATGATAAAGTGAAAAAAAACTATTTTTCTTCATAAAGGTTGTTATTCATAAATACATTTTAATACAAATTTTTACTTTGTAACTAAAATGTATTCACATACTTTTATATAACATCAGTTACACTTATTTTAAAATATCTATAACTTATTTCAATAAAATAGCTATTTCATTGATAATGCTTATTAAAATTACATTAATATTAATTCAATATAGAATTGGAAAGATAAATTATGTTAAGACCTGTGTTCTATGGGAACTCCTCCAGGGGCACCATAAATAAGTTCAGTAAATTGTTTAACACGCAAATTCCTAGCTTTTTCACCCATTACAAAACTAATTGCATCCATAATATTTGATTTTCCTAAAATACAGTTCTATAATTTTAATCTAATTCCATATAATTCAATTTACAATGTTATATGGCAAAATGTTTAATTATTTAAATATGCTATACATATAGATATAATTTGGATAAATTTTTAATTTTTACATTAATCAAAAATAATATTTTAATAATTTAATCAAACTATAAACAAACGTAATAAATTATTAACATATTGAAATTTAAATATAAATTTTTTATTATAATTGTTATGTATATTTACAATACTTCATGTTATTCGTTTTTTGGAATTTAATAAACGGTTATTAAAAATAAAACAAATAGTAAAAATTGAAGTGATAGAACTTACCAGACCCATTTGCGCCTATAATTGCTGTAAATGGCTTAACGGGGCCAATAATTACTTCTCCTCTAAAAGATTTAAAGTTAAAAATTATGATATGATTCAATTGTACCGGCATCATAATTTTCAATTTATAAAACACTTTGAGTTTAACTAAGCGCCACAATTTCGTCTTTCATAAAAGAAACAATACTACCAACATTAAAACAAAATTGGTTTAATATTATTTTATAATTCGAAAGGTCAAATGCAAAGAAATAAATTAAATTGGCTACTATTGTAAAATTATTAGAACGTATTCATCAAGTAACAAAATAAATAAATAAAGTTTTCTTTAAGTTGAATACTCATTTTTTATATTACCTTAAAATATTTATTATATTATTGTTCCTTAATGGAAACATATATACAAAAATGACAAGTTTTGCTTTCCTAAATTTTACGAAAATAACCATAAACACATGTATTAAACTAAAGAACATAAGAAGACAATATATTTATATACATATATATATTTGTTATTTTCGCTGTGAATGTGTAAAATAAAATTGTATTAGTATTATGAAATAGATTTTATATATATACTATTTTATTAATACATGTTATTATATACTACTTATTTCAGTCATTTAAATTTCAAATTATATATAAATCATATTTTATAATAAATACTTTCATGATTAATGTATTTTAAAATAAAAAGTAAAATTTACAACAAAAAATTTTAACATATCTCAGAAATTGTATTATGAAATATTATAAATAAATTCTTATATATGTATGAAAATATATGAATTATACGATATATAAAACTTAACATTTTTATTGTGCAATTTGCATTAATATTTACATATTTTATATTAAGGAAAGATATATAAAAACTAATAAACCGTATATTATAATAAAACTTTTTTATCTTAGAAAGGTACGTGTTTACAGACTTACAATATAAAAATTATGATTTAATAACATTTGATATATCTAACTTAAAGATTGACATATTATTTTAATTTAATGCATAATTCTATGTACTTATATAAATAATTTATTACCAAATAACTTTTACATTACTAAAGGCAATTTTCTATTTAAATCTAATTTAAATAATAATAAAATTTTCAAAATTAATTTAAGTATAATAATAGTATATTAATATTTCTAAAGAAAGAAAAAATATAAATAAAAAATTAAATGATCCACAAATACTCTTTAAAATTTGTCTTATTTGACAATTTGTTTTTAGATATAAAGTTCACAAAACATTATATTGAATTTTAATGTAACATATCTCAAAATGTCTTATATGTAAAACATAATATAAACTCAAAATGAAAAAACACAATTGAAATGTATAACTATTAACTCACAATGGATCCTATGAATTAATGTGCGTAGGATATGTAGTTAAATCAAGAGTTAATACTTTACTTTCCAAACATTCACCAACCTGTAATGGAAAAAATATATACGATAATATTATTACATAAATACAAATTTTTATCTTAAATTTTTAAACTCACGTCTGGGCAAATACCAATTAACGCGTCAGCGTGAGAATAAAATTCTTCTTTTAACGATATGACAATAGTTTGTAAAGAGCTTGTTTTATCACGTATATAACTAGCAACTTTTCCTATATTGGTATTATCCAGAGCAGCATCAATTTCATCCAAAACAAAGAATGGCGCAGGTTGAAAACTATAGAAATAATAGAATAAAGTTACAATTTAATATATTACAAATAAAAAATAAATTAATATAAAAGCTATTTAAATTTATTTTAAAATAAAGATTTAAGAATTTTACAATTAGATTTCATAGTACCTGTGAATTGCGAATAATAGTGCTAACGCTGCAACAGTTTTCTCTCCTCCAGATAAATTGGACATTGGTTGAAAACGTTTTCCTGGTGCTACACAATTATAATTAATACCATCTAGATAAGGTTCTTCTGGATTCTCAGGTCCAAGGAATGCTTGAGCCGATTGATTTTTTGCTAAACTCTAAAATAATAAAAATGTTTCTATGCTAATTTGATTCATGTAAAGAATGTAAAAATAATATTGATGATAAATTAACCTTATAAATTGGATCAATTTCATTGGCCACGTGTTCAAAACAAGACATAAATCTATCATGTCTTTCCTTTTTTATTTTTTCAAATTGTGTTTTTGCCTTTTTTGCTTTTTTACGAGACTGTTCAAATTCTTCATTAGTTTCTTGTAATTTTTCTTTAGCAAGATATAATTTTTGAATTGCCTACAAAAGTCAGAATTACTTCAACATTATAAAATATGTTATTTATATTATATTGACAACAATATGTGGCACATACATTATTAAATTTTCTCTTTTCTCTTTTGTAATTTGCATATTTTTCTAATACTATTTCTTTCTTTTTAAATATAGTATAGTAAAATAGATATTATTTTCTAGTTATTATCATAAAGTTGAAAAAAGATACATATTAGGTGTAATACGTAACTTTCTTTGTAATATTTTATATTATTCTTTACCTTCATGTTGGGAGCTTGAATACGTTGTATAGTACTTTGTAAATCATTAATTGTTTTGGTCAGTTTATCGGTAGTTTTTTTAATATCCTCTTCTTCTACATCCTTTAAATTTTCAGGAAGTAGAGCATAATCTATAGTTATTCGTTTTTCGCGTTCATATTGTTGCTGAGTACTTAAAGATGAGTCATTATTAGTTTCTGAACTATTAATTGTACTAGTTTCACTAGCTATATCTTCCATATTTCCATGAAGCATTGGAATTGCAACATCTTCCATCTAAATAATATTATGTTCATGTACTTATTCGAGCAATTTTTAGACAAAATATTAATAAACTTTAATAAACGGTAACATACCTTGCATTGCATTAAAATAGCATGGCGTTCAGCTTTCTTTTGTTCAATTTTAGTTTCAATGCCATTTAATTGTTTTTGAGCCGCTTGTATATCTTTTGCTATTGCTCCAACTTCACGCCTAGCTTTGCCTATTTCATCTTCTTTTTGATCGACTTCCATCTTTTTCGCATTTCGCGCCGATTTCAGTTGCTCCATTTGAGTTTCGTCATGATCTATTTCTGCTTTTTGATTAGACTCAGTTTGTCGTGCAGACTCAAGCTTATCTTCTGCATCTTGAACGGCACGTTCCCATCGTAAAACGTTACCTAAATTTTATATAAAGCCATTAATAAGTTTCAACTGGACATTATTTCAGTGAAACAATTATTATATTTTTTAAAACTACGTGAACTTTAAATCATTTACTCACTTTCCGTGTCACGTTGTTTTTCAAAATCTAATTGATTATATATACGATTACACTGATTTTCAAATTCCATTCTCTTTTTTGCTCTTTCTTGTTGTGACCTAAAAATATAATTGTGATAATTGTTTTATTCGAAATAGATTAAATGTACTATTTGCAAGTATCAAGAATAAGTAATATTAAAACTTAAATTGTTTTTATTATTTTTTTCAATATGAAAAAAATTATGAAAAGAAACTATACAGCATTTAAAAATTATTTCTATATTAAATCATAAAATAATTTAGTATTATAATTAAACATATGTATCATAATTAAGTACACATACCGTAATTCCCTTTCTTCATACTGTCGAATATTAGATACACCTATTTGCTCACAAAAACTAGCAAATACATCATCTTCAACATTATTCATTTTCTCTTTGATGTTCTGTATTTCTTGATCTCTCTCAGCCATAGTTTTCTCAATTGCAGCTATTGCTGGCTATACAGAAAGATTATATGAATTTGATACACATTTTTACATAAGTGTAATAAATATAAAAATCTACATACACCAAACATATTTAGTTCACTTTGTAGACTATCCAGTTCTGTTTCAAATTCCGAAATTTGTTTTTGCTGCAAAAAGTACAATTTATTCGCTATATACTTATATAAAAGATACAATAGGTATAGTTATTATCATCGTCCTCATATTGTAAACTGTATTATTTACCGTAGCAGTTAAATCACTTTTATTATATTTCAAACGTGTTTCTAATCCTCGTATTTGAGATTCAACAGTATTTAGTTCAGATTCTTTTCGTGATTTTTTCAAAGATTCGCGTAATTCTTCAGTTAATTTTTCCTAAAAAATATTTAACATTTATTATAGTACAATTTTATACAAGAATAAAGCACATGATAAACCTCAGATTGAAATATCTTACTTTTTGAGCCTTTAATTGAGACATTTGTTTCTCATCCCATCTTTTTGCTTTCTTTGCAAGATCCAAACTACCACCAGATATAATTCCTGCTTTCTGGTAAAATGTTCCATCTAATGCAACACACTGTAATTAAATGTATATATTATTTAACTATTATAATTCTTTAAAAAATTAGTAATTGTATACATACATCATATCTTGCTTTTTTATCCATTTCATAAGCTACTTTATTTGCATCTTCAGGTGTTTCACATACAAGTGCATTATTTGTAGCAAATAATACAGCTCTGTCAATATCTTTGGGTGAAAAATGTAACACATCATATAACAATTTTACATTTTTAGGTTCTTGTATATTTCTGAAAAAAGAAAAAAAAATTAGATATATAATATAACGTATAATTATAACATAAAAAAACATAAAAGAAAATATGTAAAAATGCTATTAAAGGTTAAGATAATGTGCAAAGAAAAATTGAACAAACTTTTAACATAATTATTTATTTTTATAAATATATAAATTATTTAATTGTAGAATTTATAGAACGATTTACGTCTACATTACATACCTAAGTCTCTCTTTTAATGGTTTTGCTTGAATGTAATCAAGAGGAAGAAATGTTTCTGGTTCAAGATATTGCTCTTTAAGGTATTGAATACATTGTCTAGCTGTTTTTTCAGTATCAACAACAATAGCTTCCATATATTTTCCAAGAACTTTTGTAATCGCAACATTATACCTCTTGTGAATAGGTTCACACATATTGTACATACGATCATACTAAGAAGTAACAATAATGAAAATAATTATGTGATAAGTACTTTGTTAAACATATAAAATAATAATATACAAGAAAATAGAATATTGTACATATTAACTTATCGCTTACCACTCCAGGAAAAAGTCGTTTAAAATTTTCAACAATTTCAGTTTTCTTTTTTGTTCTTGATACTTCATGTTTATCAACTTTTGCATCACCTAATTGTTCTGAAATGCTTTCTAATTCTCGTTGTAGATTTTGTATTTTATCTTTTGATGTACCAACATCAGATTGCAAGTCGGCCCGCAACTTCTTCTGATCTTCTAAGGCAGCTTCTGATGTTCTTATATGTTCTTCTAACTTTTCTACTCTTTTAAGAGCTTCATCTCGCATATGACCTTTTTGTTTATGTTTATTTTCTATTTCTGTTTTCTTTCTTCCTTCATTATCAAGTCTATCTTGATCTGATTTTTGTTCTCGATTAATAGAATCAAGAAGTTGTAAATATCTTGCTGATTGTTTACCTGCTTCCTCTTTCAAGCGATTATACTCTCTAACCTTAAATCAATTTTACAATTATCATAATAATGACTACTTTGCTCTCTGATTATATATATACAGTTACTTAAATTTAAGTAAATAACTGATAATATAATGTTAGGAAAATAGTTTGTATCACTAATTTATAGTGAATCATTTTAAAAAATATTATTATATATGTGAAACAAATTTACTTAAATTTTTACCTGTTCATCTTCAAGTTGCACATCTCTTCCTTGTAATTGTGATTGTCCAGCAATACTCGCTTCGTAAGCTGCTTTAGCTTCCTCTACTTGTCGTAGTTCTTCCTGTAGTTCATTTATATCTTTTTTATGTGCTTCATCTGCAATACGTGCTTGAGCTAAAGATTTTCGAGCAGATTCTACTTTTTTCTGCATGTGTGCAACACGTTCTTTTGCTTTGATAAATGTCGGCCTTTTTTTTGTTATTTCAACTTCAACTTCTCTAATATCTTGCTCTATTTTAGCAAGATCTCTTCCCAATTTTCCAGCTTCTTTCTTTTTTTCTTTTAATATTTCTTCTGCTTTTTCTTTTTTCTTTTCAATTTTTTCTATTTCATGTTGCTTTTTCTTCTGTGAAACTTCTAAATTCTCTGTACTCTTTTCATTATGAAATAAACGAAATAATTGGAGTTCTACTTGTTTTTCTATCTACAATGAAATAGATAATATTAGATTTAAAATTGCAATTCAATCAGAAATTTATAAATTATGTAATTTATTCTATATGAAGAGAATAAATAAATGACTTACATATTCTTCTTTTAAACGTTGATATTTTTCAGCTTCTTCTTTTTCCAATTTTGCTTCTTTTCTTTCTGCAGCAATACCTTTCTTTTTCTGATATGAAAACTGAGTTTCTTCCTCTGCTTTTAACATTTCTGTTCTTAATCTATAAAATTAAAAATTTCATATGTATTGTATAAGAATGTTTATTATATATTTTATATCAATTAAGTTAATCATTGTACAGTGGTATCTCTCGTATCCGAAATAACAGGAAGACAAAATTATTTGGATAAGGGAATTTTTGGATAATAGAATAAACACTTACTTTACATTGAATTTCATTTGTTCAAACAGAAACTTATACTTTTAATTGAAAAAAACCTTATTTCTTCCAAAAAAAAAGTATTTATATTTTCAACAAAGAGAGACTTTGAAAAAAGACTTAAATTCTGTGCATAAAGAAAACAAAATTCAGTTTATTTATACACTTATGGATCCCATATATTTTGGCTGCTAAGCATTCTGTTTCTGTCTCAAACCAATAAAGTTCAACTTCGAGTACTTCAAATGCTTCGACATAAGATGTCATCCTCAGCATTGTTTTCATTTGTTATTTCAGCTTCGGTTAAATTTATTTCGATATCTTTGTTACTATTATCATCTTTATCATATCATATTACTTTATTGTATCTTTATCTTGTTATATTATTTCATATTTAAGTTGGATATTTAAAACTATACATTTTCGTTTTGTTCCCATTCTGACATACTGTATACTGTTAGCTTTGCACTAAATTGTTCTGTTTAGGGATACATTCAGTCAAACGTGGGAAATTATATTTACATATACAGTTTGTAAATATTGTCACAGTATGCTGTTTGGATAATGGAATATTCGAATAGTAGAACATTCAGACATTAGAGTATTCGGAAAATGGAACTTCAGATACAGGAGGTTGCACTGTATAATTTATTTGACAGCAATGGTTAATAGTGCAAAACACATTTTTATTAATAATCTTTTTTGTATGTAACATCTAAACAGATAAATTATTTAAAAATATTTCAGTAGTACCATATAAGATAATAATTAATAAAACATGAATTGTATAAAATATTATTTAAGACATTTTAGAATTATAAATGAATAAAGCATAGAATACCATAAAACACACAATTAATTATTAAACTTGCCAAAATAATCATGAATAATATTACATGAAGAATTATGTATGCTAGATACAGATAGTATTATATATGCAAGGTACCTTTCATATTCTGCTTTTAATGCTCCAGAATTACTAATTTCTTCAAAAAGTGCAGTACGTTCTTTTGGATTTTTCATAGCTATTGATTCAACCGCTCCTTGGAATACCAAAAAATTCTTTGCTTTGACATTAATGCCAAGTTGCTCTAATTCATTAAGATATACTTGGCTTGTTACTACCTGTATAATTCACATAAATAATTTATAAATTTCCTTTAGAAAGTAAGTTTATAGTTAACTTATAATTTAAATATATGTAATACTTACATTACTATTTATTCTATGTTCTGAAGAAGAGCCTTGTACTGAACGCATAAAACTTTTTTCAGTACCATCTTCGAGTTCAAATACAGCAGTTACAGATGCACTGTAATATATAATAACTGTATGAAATATATCATGTTTATAAATATATTTGACGCGATATAAAATACTTATAAATATGAATTTGTAGTTTAATAAACACTCATAAAGAATCATATAAAGTGACACAATTTCTATACATAGTTTTGTTTTATCCGATACTGTTATCAGATTATAATTACGAAAGGCAAAATAAATCCAATAAATAAAATATTTCTTCTTTTGTTTCTTCTTTAAAGTAAAAAAAATTATGATACACATATGCTGTTACAATTATATTTTATTTTCATTTATACTTCATAAATATAATTTAAAATATCTGATATCTTTAGATATTAGAAAATTTAACTTCCTTTTAATAATTTTATGAATTCACTAAATATATTACATATATTTTACTTACAAATGAAGATAGAAATATCAATATAAAATAATAATAATAATAATTTACATTAGTACTAAATTTTATTATATAAAATAATTTAAAACCAAAAGATAATATTAAAATGTACAGTTTTCATTATTTATTATACAGTGTTCTACTTTCTAAATGAAATAAAAATATTTTAACAAGTTTTTATTAGATGTATTTTTAATATAAAAATTCAAAAATACCTTCGAGCAACTGGCATTCCTATTGAAGCTCCATGTATCAACTCACTAAATCGTTTTACACGTAAGCTACTTGTTTTTTCTCCCATAACAAAACTAATTGCATCCATAAAATTAGATTTTCCTATATTAAAAATATAAATATAATATATAACAAATCTAAAATTATGGGAATTGCTTATACTAATATAGAAGAACATAACCTACCAGATCCATTTGGTCCAACAACAGCAGTGAATGATTTTAAAGGTCCTATAATAAGCTTTCCTTTGTAAGACTTAAAGTTTTCTACTTCGATATGCTTTAAAAAAGCCGGCATTTTCAAAAATATTTAAAAAAATCTCACAAATAACAGCAAACTGGCATAATTGGCGCCATAAAGTTTCCAACACAAACAAGCATTATACATCAACACTTGGTCTGTCGACTACTCTGAAGCTAGGTTCGTAATGTTATCAACTTCGTTTTCCTAAGAACTACAAATTTACAATGTTATTATATAAATATTTATATTTATATTAAATTTAAATTATATTATAAATATAATTATATTTAACATATATTTTATATTTATATTATATTTATATTTATAGTTATTTATGAACTTTTACTATTATAATAAACATGATATCTCTAAAAAATATTAATAAATGTTACAAATACAATAAATTTTTATAATATGAAGTTATATATGTTTTTTAGTATAGTATTATATATATTTTCAGTATATTGTATTGTAGATTTTTGATATATTTTTGTTAATGTGATTATATATATTCAGTATGAATGTGTCATGTATTTAGTATATTTAGTAAATTGTTATATTTATATTATTTATGGATGCCATTAAGACCTGAAATTAGTTTTCCTTATAAATTTTTGCATGGAAAATCGAATGTTGCTTTAAGAGGAATATTTTTTATTTCAAAAGGAAATAAATTTTATAAAAAGTAAAACCTGAAAAGTTAAAAAGTATTTGAGCACTGTAATATTACATAATATTATAAAGATAATATGAATTAAATAAAGTATATTATATGAAACTGGCATAACATTTTATTAAATAATTTTAAATAATGAATATTTAATTTATCATATAAACATTATAGAAGAATACTAAGTAAAGTATTTGTTTATAATCTCCTACATAATAAATTTTCTACATCATATTTTACAATATGCAATTTACAGTCCAATATTCTGTGCCAAAGAACATGAAAGACCAACATTATCAGGTTCAACATTTAACTCTTTAACTACACCATCTTCAAGAACCATTGAGTATCGTTTACTTCTTTTACCCAGTGCTGGTATATCAATAGATAGTCCTAATGCGTTTGTAAATTCAGCTGCAGTATCTGCTAGCATACGTACCTAAATGAAAGAATATAAAATATTTAAATTGTGATATATGATATTTATAAGAATATGTAATATATATCTAATATTGTCTAATATTACCTTGCCTTCTGCTCCATGTTCTTTACCCCATGCTGTCATTACAAATGGATCATTTACAGCAATGCAAAAAATTTCTGCAACACCTTTAGATTTCAATTCTTGAGCTTTTTGTATATAACCAGGAAGATGTGTCTAAAACAATATTAACTTTTGAACATACCTATCTTATATCGCATACTTTTTAAAATATATATGGATAGAAATTTTTATTATGAAAAGCATTATATTATATAAGAAATTATAATTTCTCTATAAGTTTTAAAATAAACTAAATTACTTTTATTTCAATAGAATTTAATTAATTAGATTTTTATTAATTAATGCCACTAATACTAATTTATTAATATTCATTTCTTTTTTCTTTTTTCTACATTTATATTTAAATTGATCGAACACAGGTAATTATTATACTTTGTTAAATAACATTTTTGATGACTGTATTATGTAAAATATATTAAAAACATTTAAATAAATTTTTAGATAAAAGATATAACATATACCTTTGAACATCCTGGTGTGAACGCTCCTGGTACTCCAAAAATTACAACTTTTTTTCCAGATGCAATTTGAGCAAGATTCACCTTATTTGCAGGAGAATCTTCAAAAAGATCAATTGTGGGCAATTTTTCACCTACCTAAATGTATTAACGAATAAATAAATAATTTAAAAAAATATGTTTCTATTGATCATATAATGAAATATTCATATAATAACTATAATGATTGTAATAATTGATTTCATAATTGTTAAAAATTAATATAAAACAAAACTTACCGCAATAACCATGTTTTGAGATGTCACTCGAAATTCTCTTATAAAATGACCAAATGACAATCGCTCGCTGATGGAAATTGCACGATTTACGAGTTGGTTCATCTGTATCTTTGATTTTTAACAGCGTAAACCAAATAATCAACTATTTTTCATAAAATAAAATTATTAAAAAATTTGTTAGATCAGGAGACGATTGATACTTGACCGAATGAATACACGATATCACACAACCTTTTGACTCATTACATAAATACAATCGTTCCCCTCTTGCTATATATTTTTATTTTCGATACTTATTTTCTTTACGTAGTACAAAATTCATTAAATTATGTTTGACATGTCAGTTTCTTCAACTAACATCAATTATTTTTTTACATTGTTTATTGTGTAAAATGATAAATGATTACATTTTAGCTTTGATATTAATATTGATAATTAATATTAAATATTTATGTTAAATTATTAAAATAGAATTCATTATGTTTACAATAAGTACAATAAAAGGAAATTGGAAATAATAAATAAAGTTTAGTAATCATAATACTTGTTTAAGTATAAGTTACTTTTGAAATTCAAATGTTTCTACGTAGAAATGTTTTAAAAATTTATCAAATTTGTCTTTCTTTTCAATATCTTCAATTACTTTCTATTATATACAATAAATATCATTTTAAGAATAATTTTTAAAATTCTCTGATAGATTACGTAATATAATATATTTCTATTTTACGTTAAAATATTTAAGAAATTATAAATTAAATAATAAATATTTGATACTTTTATTAATATATTATACGTCTATTAAATTAATGTTATTAAAAATAATAAAAATAAAATAAATTTTATTAGACAAATTTAACCTATGATTATTCTTAGCCACGAGGTGGTGCACCCTACTGGAACTAAATCAAACTTCGACATACTTGATAATTTTGATATCTTATGGAAGTCTTCAAGTTTCCAAAACAAGGTTTTTACATATCAAATATATTCATATTGTAAATCTATCTTTTAAAATATACAAATTTCGTGTCAAGAATTTAAGTTATATAACCTTCCTATTAAAACATTTTGTCTTTTCTTCTAATGGATATTAAAAATACCTCTTTAATATCAATAAACGGTTTAACTTTCAATTGTTTCTCAAATTATGTATTACAATACAGATCGATATTAGTATAGCTTAGAATTTTATTGTAACTATTATTATGTATGTTATTATTTTTACATCATTGGGGTCGATAATAGAGAAATTTTAATTACTATTGTATCTACAGTGTCAGAATAACTTTTGAATAAAACAATTATTTTTAATTGAACATGTATAATATAATTCAATTTAGAGTTTCCACTATGTAAAATTGCATTCAAATTTAATGATTATTGAGAAATTTTTTATGTCATGAGTTACATAAATATAAAGTTTGTTAAAAGTTCTTTCTGAATTACGATAAATTAATTATAATTCTTTGCAGATATAAATTTCGTAAATATCTATTAAAATATTTAAATATAAATGCTTTTTTATAATACAATTGATGATTAAGGAATATGTATATACTTAATAGATCTTCGATTTATAATGCAACAATTTATTTTCACATTATCTCGCCCTTTTTTCTTTTTTCAAATCAATTTGATTTTACAATGAAATTTATACATGTATTAAATTTGTATTCAAACCACCTGGGAGGTATTAAATTTCAATTTAAAAAAAAATATATTTTATTTTCATTTTTTTGTTAAATATTTAAAACGTTAACACTACATATTTAAATATTTTTGAATATCTATTGTGGATTCAATTAAATACCTTAAATATCAAAATATAAGGGAAAACTTATAACATCTTTTATTTATATTTTGACTGTACAAATACATTTATCTCTTATTGTATAACATACAAGTATATCGTACTTTTTCAAACCAAGCTATTTTGCAAGGTAAGTAATATTATTTATTAATTATTGTTTTATTACATATTTTTGAAGCTATTATTACTAATATATTAGTATTATACAAATTTCTTTATTGTATGTTAAATTTTATTATTGCTCATATTATAGTACGTCCTTGTTGCATTATTGATTTAAAAATTATAGGCTTTTTATACAATCTAAAATCTGCAATGAATCTACAAAGATAATTCAAACCCGTGACGTAAAATTTTATATAAATTGTTTTCCAAGTTGTTTATTATATCTAAAAAAATATAAGTATATTAAAATAACAATAAAAAATGTTACTTTTAAATTTTATAATTAATATAATTGACTTACAACGTAATGCTATTATACGAAGAAGTACAAGAGATTTCTTTTTAGTATGTAATTATATTGAAATATCTTATACAGAATTTCACCAACATTTTCCAAATTTGATGTTTGAACATATTTCAAAATGAAAATACATAATGGGATGAATAAAGTTAATTCTCAGGAATGGAACAAATTTTGGGAAAAGAAAACAAAGCTGATTTCCAGGTCTCTTCTACGCTTCCACCTGTAAACAAATTATTGTCATATTATTTCTTTTTTCAACTTTACAATTTATATAAGTAGCTACTACCTACTATTTTTGCTTATTATTTAAAATAATGACAGTATTTCAAAGAGCAGAGTTACTAATACTTAATTAAGTACGAATGCTTAACTATTTATTTAGCTTGGAAATATATAAAAAATAAAGTACGATTAGAAAACGAACTCACTTGTTACGATGAAAGGAAAGTCGCGAGCAATTCATCGGGCTGGCTTGTAGGCGATTGAAGAAAAGGTACTGAAGAAATCGGCGCAAGCCCAATAGGTATGGTAACGTGAGCTGAACTTGAGGGGTGAAAGGGGTCGAAGAATCGGAAAGAGAATTACTTTGAGATTACGGAGAGCACAGAGGATGGAATTGAATACGACACTGCTAGGTGGAACCATACACGTCCGGGTCATTAAAAGCGGTCCTTCTGAACCCTGCAGACACCGCCATCACAATGCATTGCACTGGGAATAATATGCTCTATTTACAAATTAAAATATCCGATTTCAAAATATTCCACGTGGTATTTAATCAATATTGGCCCCATCTGCATCTTCCTCAGGTTTTGTGCCCTTGTTTTTTTCTCTGACTGCTGAAATAGATTTTTCAATCCTATATTAGTTAATTATTTAACGAAGATTCTTAATATTACTTAAAATTATTTATATTTAAATTAGTAATATTATTATCATTATATTGTTAATATTATTTAGGATAAAATTGAATTAAGTTTCAGTTATAAATGCGAAATAAGTAATGCATAGTAATATACTTAATGCGTATAATAGATACAATAGTATTGGTGTTTGTAATGGAAAACGAAAACAAATAAACTTGTTTAAATATAATTTAAAATAAATATTAAAAAGGAAATAATGAATATTTTATTATATCCTTTTATATATTTGTTTACAATACTTGTATAATTTGTTACAATATTGTATAATATAATTATATGATTATAAAATATCGAAATGCCCATAACATAATTTTACAATAAAGTCTGATATAATTTTTATAAAATATAAATATAAAAATAGCTTTTATAACATAATTATTATAATTATCGTTTTTGTACAAAATAAATATTTTTAATATCTATAAAATAATTATACATATGTAATATACATACATATTTAATATTACGTTTTGAGGTTAACATAGTAGAAAACACATTTAATAATTATATCTTGTTTGGAATTTTATATAATATAAATTAACTAAAAATACAATTTTTAAATTACTCCTGCAAAATAATTTCATTTTAGAAAAGTATATATGATACATTCTTAATCGCGTTATTTTAAAAATATAAATAAATATTTAAGTATTTCGTACAAGTATACATTTGTATGTTTTTATAAATAATTGTATAAATTAAGTATATATAATTAGTAACAGTTGCAACACATGGAAAATATATGAGAGTTTCAAAACTTTTTTCAAACAAGGCGACGTCTTTTGCAAAAAATTCACTGACATTTTTGAAGCAAAGAAGCATCATAAACCTTCGCAACTCTTTAAAAATTGTTTGTATTCGCGTTCTTGAAGAGCAAAAAACGCTACTTCAAGAAAAAATGAAGCTGAAAAGTCAGCTTTTTAAGTAACGGATTTTTCTACGTTTATAGCAGGACTGCCTGTTTTTCAGCAAACAGTGAATTTGAAGCTTGAAATGTTCTTGTCGTCACGTATATTTTTTGCATGATAGATGAACAAATCTGGCTGCAAGGAAGGTTTCTATTTTATCTTCTTTCCCCAAGTGACCGACTGTAAAAAGTTTCTACTGTAAATTATTTCTCCGCTGCTTTTTTTAACGGTATCTTTTAACGGCAAAAAATTAGTCCCACTATGCTTTTCGTCGTAACGGAAAAAACTGGACCTTTTTAGCCAGTGCGACTATTTTATGACTGATCGCAAAAAAATGACAGAAAAACTGATCGAAACGTGCCTTCTTTTTTTTTACGGTACACACCCGTTCCTGTTGTGACGCTTCTTGAATTAGAGGGTTCTTTAGTAAAAGGCAAATTTAATACCGTTATTGTTACTTGCTACTACTAATTTATTAAATTAATGTTCACTATATTTAGTATTCAATTTATAAATGAAGGATAAGCAGGTACTTACACGAGAAACATCTATCGTTAGTGATTTTATGCTAATACAGCGCTTTCTGTTGATGACAATTGGAACTAGAGAGCAGATAAATTACGAAAGATTATGAAATTGACATCAGCAGAAAAGGTAACCCTAAAAATTTAGTTTAATGGGAATACCTACTCATCCCTGGAACAGGAAATGTTTTCTACTTCTACCATTTTTATTTGGTGTAAACTTGCATTAAATCAAAAGTAACAAAGTCTCGTGCCCAACGTGTGAATAAAGAATAAGATAGTGAAATTAATAAAAATTTTGATAACGATAGAAATGGCCTTTTTCCCATTCTGTTCCATTTATTAAAAATAATATAATGTTAAATAACGTAAAACAATTATTTTTCAATTTTCTATTTTTCTGGAAGTGCACAAAAATTTCTCGTTTTTTCCCCTTTAACCTTTATGTTCAGTTGTGACATTTAATATTATACGAACGCATTCGGCAAATACGAAAAAATAGAGAAAAAAGAATAATTACAATATTCTTTATAATCGTCCTTTACGATGATAACGATTACAAATTATAGAAAATGTAAACGGATAAGAAAC